TCGAAGGATGAGCGATCAACTGTGACTAAAACAATTAAAAATATCCGTCTTATAGATGAAGGCTTCCACATTTGGGAGGGATTGATTGCATACACGGGGCAAGAAGTGGTGAGTTGATTGTTTCCTCGCGTGTGATCAATTATATCCGTGTGTGCAGCGGAGTGATATTTAAGCGACTGTTTTTGTTTGCGTCAGTAGGCATGAGTGAGTGAAGGTAGGGTGATCTGTTAGGACAGAGGGGCACTCAGGGGCACATCACCGCAAGGGACTTTAGGTGACAAGGCAGGCTGGTCAATGCGTGCATGATAAGGTTGTCCGTAAATTTGTCTGTGACGAAGAATAGATGAAATTTTGGGGACTGCGGTGTTTTGGTGGAACGCCTGTTAGTCAGTGGTATTATCTCGTCTCTCAGGATACCGTATCAAGTGCGAGTGAAGCAGCTTCATTAGTGTACATTTCTGGCTAACCGGTAGCATATGCTTCAGTGCCTCTTTCTTTAGTATCCTGACGGACGAGACAAGCCCGCTCCGCCAAATGACCACAGATATAGGTTAACAACAAAGGTGCACGAAATCAACCTCTTCGTCAAGCGTGGGACAATGCCGTGCTTTGTCAGACCGCCTGTCAGTAAGCTATCAGTGAGCATGACGGGCATCGTGTCGCCAGAGAAAGGGGCATTGGTGCAGCGGATGCATGTGGTCAGTGATTTCAAGGCAAAGAAAAGATTAAACAATACTACAAAAGAAAAAAAATATTAAGCTAAGGGATGCATTCAGAGACACTCAAAGTTAAATATCGTATTGTTGATATTTCGACTACTGGGATCGATGATGTCCAAACTTCCTGTAGGTAGGAGTCGTCATTTGCAGGTCTGCAGTTTCGTTGGTGTTTAAATTGTGATTTTAAGTAATATAGCAATATAGTTTAACTAGGAGTGCAAGGAAGTATGTAGTTGTAGTAAGGTTTACTTAAGGATTTAGTTCAGATAACAGTAAGTAAGGCTGTCTCGAGGCACACC